ACAATTATGAAGAAACTTCTAATATTACCTTTACAGAAAACAAACACACTTGGATGTATTTAAAAGCACAACTGATCACTTAAAGGGCCAAATTCAAGTGTCAGAATCTCAATTCATCCCACATATCATGTCTATATTACTGTTGGTGGAAATCTTCTTCTGTCTTTCCATCTTGCATTCTTTGTCTACCAAAGCACCCTGGCTCAGGATGAACAGCTTAGATGCATAGTGTGCTGTGCTAACGAAGCTAAAAAGGTCTGAGCCTTCTCTGAGTCACTGTGTCTCATAGAGGGTGAAAAAATTCACTAGTTTTCAAAGATATTCCATTTATCCTACAGGCAACATGTATTGTTCAACCCAAAAGGAATGCACAAAATAATCTGGATTCACTCCTAACTTACCCTATGAAAACAAGCCCCAAATATTCAAGGTTTATATCCTACAATGGGCAAAAGGTATTGATAAAAGCATCTACTTAATAGACAGCCAAACTACTGTAAAGGTGTTGAGTAAATTAACCATATTTTGGTTCATCTTCTTTTGTCCTTAGGCAGAATCACAAATGTAAACTTCAGTCTCAACTTCTTCAGCCCTTGAATTATCCTCATGCCTGACAAAATTGGGGTATTTGTGACTTAACACCTTTGGAGAATTGTTCCATCCACTTTTTCGTACAGTTCCTTTTCCTTTTAAGATAAAGTATCGGGGCGCCAAGTTACAAGTTTTTCACATCCCCAAACTCAAAACATCTTCACATGAAACTATGAATAAATACTAACTTCCTATCTGTAACAACAGAGGTCAGAGAGTCCAGTTTTTTCTCCTTCATTTTGTTTCTATGGCTTATTTTCTAGAGTCGTACCAGTTGTGTTTTGCACAGTTCTTACCAACACTTTTCTCAACTCCATCTGAATAACAGCATAATATAATTCATTATGGATTTACTACCTGAGTTCAAATCACAGGCCTGTCACTACCAATTGGGTAGCCTTGTATATTTTACTTCTGTAAACCTCCGTTTCCCCACATGTAAAATGTGTATAAAAATCACTACCTCAAAGGGTGGTCCCAGGATTTAAATAGAACGGCACGTGTAAAAGCTGACAGTCAAATGCTCAAAACAAAATCTGTCATTTGACCAATGTTCACTGTCTACCTATTATATGCAAAGCACTCTTAATTAATGTGTTGCTTTAACTTCTCTGTAAGGTTTTTAAAAAGTAAATATCTAAAAAAAGTATTGCACTTAAAAGTAGGCCACTAAATATGTGAGAAAATCTACTCAAAGCTACCAAATTTTTTATATTTGCAGTTATGGAAATCACTGTTAAAGAGCATATCAAATTTAAAAAATAGTTTTCAAAAAAACATTTTTTTAATAGTAACAACATATACACCATTTACTTGATACAATTACTGCTTTGGATTTACTTCGTGGTTCTTTGGTCTAACTTACATGTTGAAAAGCCTGTTATGCAAAACTCAAGAATGAATAAAAAGGAAGGAATAAGTGACTGCTAAAGTAACTGCAGGATGCTGAGACACTGCTGTCAAAATCGCCTTCCTGACCTAGAGGAGTACAGGGTGAAGCTGACGGATTGTGGGAAATGTGAAAGCTTTCTGTTCTTAGAGTGCAGAGGAGCAGGAGGTTAACGGTTAACATTGAATTGCAAACTCTGTCAAATGTGAGATACTGTGATTTGAAGCATGTCCACAGCACCAGACTCTCACTCAGACTTTAATCCCAGAACTTCTTTGCAAAACACAACTGGTATGGCTTTGCCCATGATAAGTCCACACAATAAAATAAATGAGCTGTTTCAAGAAAAAGGAAACTGCTGCCTATCATCTGAATTTCAGTTCCAACATAAGCCTGGATGATAAAAGGACGAACATGTGACTCATAGCTTCTCCATGACTCAAGTCTGCTGTGGGAAAAATCACCTTCCTAAATGAAAATCCTCTACTTATATAGAAAAATCACAGTATACGTAAAAGTGATTTAGGGTGCAAAAAAATGATCTCTATGTTCTAATTTCCAGTGTGATAACATACAGAATGCAGTATAATGTGCCAAAATCAACACTTCTGTTCTCAAACTAATGGTTTAAGTAATTCTATCTATAACAAAGAACTGGTTTTTTAAAAAACCAATTAGTGGTTGCCAGGGGTTGAGTGAAGGGAAAGTGGGGTGTTATTGTTTTATGGGTACAGAGTTTCACTTTGGGGTGATGAAAAAGTTCTGGAGATGAATAGTGGTGATGGTTACATAGGAATGTGGATATATTTAATGCTACTGAACTGTACACTCAGAAATGGTTATAATGTTAAATTTTATGTTACGTATATTTCACCACAATAAAAATTTTTTTAATGTTATTAGCCTTAAAAATGAAAACACACAAAAGAATGTGTTACTTGTTATAAATTCTTGCTCATCTAGGCTGATAATAAAAATCCCTCAAAGCAACTAAGTTGAAATGGTCACCTAATTATAGTAAGTAAATCATTAACATAACACAAACATTGTCATTGTTGAAAGCCACTAGCCATTTGAGGATATACTTACTGAATTTTATACACACCCTTTATGGCCAAGGTAACAATAAATTTGCATAACCATATCTTTATTAGTCAAACAGTAAAAGAAACCATGGTGGGATCAATGGAGTTCATGGGGTCAACACATAACGAAGGACTGAAAACCTTGTTACTATAGAATTATCAGACTTGCATGCAATCTCCAGGTGTACAAACAACTAGAACAAAATACTTGTTAGAATGGAGTCTGTATTCTGATTCCCCCACACACACTCTCTCTTACCCCAGAAAATCGGGCCAATTTCCATTTGCTTACCACCAGTCCTAGAACGAGGGTGCGGACTCTCTCTCCTATCTCTGGTGAAATGTCATTGCCAAACTGCTGCAGGGTAGTGAGGAACCGTTTCAGCTTACTGAGTTGCCTGGCGCCACAGGCTGGGGGCAGCTGTTGATTAGCCAGAGAAGAAGAGGAAGAAGAGGAAGGCCCATTGCTAAAGCCATTGGGCGGTGAGGGGGCGCCATTCAAGGCTGTGGGTGAATGGCTCGTGCCATTAGTTACTGTCAAGGACACAAAATCAGAAAGAAAAAGTAAACTTACAGAGAACACGCACAAGGAAATTACAACCAAGTCTCCTTCCTTTTAAATCTGGTAGATTTTATAATTTAAAAACTGTTGGGGCTTTTTTGTAAAATGCTTTGACTTAGTATTACCACAGGCTCAGGGAGTCTACAGGTAAATGGGTGTACTCTTCACGCTGCATGAGGGTATTCTGCACAGAGGCTGAGAGTAAATGGAGTCGCCTGTAACACAGGGACAGCCATGCCTCCCATGTGCACATATGGCAACCACGTGAAATGTTTCAAACATAGAACAAACAGCGTTTGGATGTCAGCCTTTTGTCAAAGGCTTACATCAATATAACAGGACTACTCCTTTCTAAACTGCTCCCCTAGAGAAAGTGTACATTTGGTGGAGACTAAATTTATCGCTGAACATTTTTAATCATGTTTTGTACACACAACTGACAGCTGTGTTTATAGAAATAGGACTTTCAAGTTTAACCTTATATCACCCAATTAGAAGGCTATTTTCTCCCCCTCATATTTCTTAACCACTTTAGGGAAAATGCAAATTTTACTTAATAAGCCAAAATGGATACGGTAATTACCAAGGAGTTATTTCAAGAAATCAAAAGGAGACATCCCAACTCAACTAATAGCATAGATTGGTGGTAATTCAGTAAATTCATTTCCGATAAAATTTATTTGAACATCAAAATGATAATCCATAAGAACTAGGCTAGAAAAATTTGCACATTTCTTACCAAAGAAAACGTTGATTTTATTCAGTTAAATCAATTAATTTGACAAACTGATCTTTATCAAACCTATCTTTTTAAAATAATTTTGATAAACTATTTCCAACAACAGTTTGAAGATGTTTTAAGTATCCCATTATTCTTAAGTTTTAAAATGATAAAATGGACTCTTGTCCCAAATGAGTACCAAAGCAACCTGTCAAGAAATGATAGCTCACCAGCACCTCTCACAGAAGACATATGCCTATCACTGCAGCTTTGGGGGACAACAAACCAAGTACAAGATGACAGGGTTACAACTTGGCACTGTTGCAGCCTCCTGCTCCCTACATGTTTAGAAAGGTCTTTGAAATGGCAGTGTGACACTGCATGAACAGCCTGGGATGTATAGTTTGCCAATCCCTTACAATCCCGCGGCTCTATTTTTGCCTGTTAGTTATTTGTCATTCATATAGATTTCACGGCATGTGGTCTATAGATAGTATTATCTGCAATAGATAGCATTTATTAGTTTTACAAATCCTTGATGACAATTTTAACCAGAACTTTGAGACTGATGAAAACAAAGCTATCTACTATCCCTACTGGAATATACAGGAAAGAAAGGGAAGTTGCTACTCTGTCAGAAAGTTCTGTCCTTTCCTTGGACGACACAGAAAGCAACACACTCCACTGATTCAGAGGACAAGGCCTGAGCCAAGCTGGAATGGAGTCAAGGTTTAACAAACATCTGACAAGTTCAAGACAAGAAAGATGCTCCATATTTCAGAAAGTTTTCCGTATGTGACTGTTGCCTACAACAATATCCTTTTTAACTTACGGATGTTAGATTTTAACATTATTTGTAAATAAGAGAAGAAAGTGGTATTAGAAGATCAGAAGTAAACTAGAAATAAATATATGGAAACAGGAAATGCAGAGACAACTACTCACACGTTGTTGGTGTAAACGAACTGGTTCTTGGAGCTCCTTGAGTTGTTGGGGGAGGTGGCATCGTGGGAGGAGTTAGCCTAGATGGGGTCTTCACATCCACAGGTGAGTCTGGCATCGTGGAGTGCTTCTCAGTCCGATCTGGAGGACGCCACCATGAACATATTATTTTACTGCTTAAGCACCTCAGTTATTTAAGTGGGGTTCATCTTTTTTACAAGCAAGTGAACAGAACAAATCTAATATCTTCTATCCTTATCTTCTAAAATTTAAATCAAGACTTTACCACCCAAATCCCACTTAAGAAGGTGTAGTGCAGATGGAAGGACCTCATTTGTACCTGGGTTATTTTATATCCTATTGTTATTCCCAGTTTGGCAGATGCTACCTAGGTAGTGTGATACGCAACAGCACAAATTCACTTGAAGCTAAAGGCAACTTTAGCAAGAGGTAAAAATAGATGAGAAAGTAGGATGGTAATGAACCCCTCAGCTCAGAAATAACACAAATCAGTAGCTCTGTCATGCAGGTGAAATTCTGGCAGGAAGTGGCATTTTGTGGATTTTTGCAACACCTGCCATCCCCTTTCCACACTTAGTTTTCTCGCCTATTACATGAAGCCAGTTATGTGTCCCAGACATAGCTCTCACTCCAATCTTTTCTGCCATGTTTGAAAAATCACCACTCTACATAAATGCTGTAGGTCACACAATGAATTTAAGCTATTATTTACTTAGAACTTGTGAGTTTATGACTCACCATTGTAAATATATGAGACCAACACTTCAATAACAATCTCAGGCAGAGTACGAAGGAGAAGTTCCTAACTGAGAACTACAAAGAATGAAAGACCCTCCTTATATTTTTTCATGAGTATGTGACAGATATGGAGACATTTCCTGATTACTCAGTAATGAACATTTGCACTTCAGGACTGTTTTCTACTAAGTATACTTTCCCCTTGAAATTTTAAACTTTTTTTCTCAATTTAATCTATTTATTAAAGCAATAGATCTCCAGCAAAAGAGAGAGGAGAGAGTTTCTGTTTGTTTCTTTAGATCCAATTTTCTACAAAGGTGTACATGTGCACACCCCCCTCCCCAAAAATGTTTGAGGCACCTCTTGCAGCCTTAGGCACAGATATTTCCCACTTGGGCTTTCTGAAAAATAAAATAACACAGGCTGTTGATAAAAAAAAAAAAAAAAAAAAGAAAAAGTCTTTTAAAACATTATGATAACCACAGTGAGAAATTCTCAAAATTACTAAAAAGTCAAGTATTAAAAGAAAATAAAAAGCCCAAATTGCTACAGTGACAACTCCAAATCTACCTCATCTTTATTCAAAGCAATTTCATAAGACTTGAGTTGTAATAAACACAACAATTAAAATTTGAAATAATGTTGATACCATATTAGGGAAGATGCACTAAAGAATGAAAATAAGAGCATTCCAGTAAGAGCATTTTGAATGACGATCTGGTTAACAGTAACAAGGTGTCTATTTCCTAATCTCTACTGCTGGTTGAATAACAATGAATGTCCTTGTCGTAAGTATTCTCAGTGAAGTGATGGTAAAAACACACTTGGAGAGCATTTCTCCCTTTATCTTATTGCTAAAAACTTGTCTTTGTATTGCTATTTCAGAGCATTTAACAACCAGTATCAGTAAATCACCTACCCTACAAAAATACGGAAGTTAGGCAGGTTTAAAACTGTTTCTTCTATAGTTAAATTCATTGCACAGTCTACTCACCTCAACCAACCTCAGCAACAAGGGAATGAATAGCTTTCCACTAATGCTACAACTGAGGGGAAAGGTACAGCAGCAAATACAAGTCTCCCTAAATAAAGGCAAATATTTCTGTCATGCCAAGGAAGGAGGGATAAACAGAGGCTTGCCAGAGTCGGCTGGGAGATAACAGTGGGAACTGCTGGTCCATCTGGTTTTCATTCTGCTAACACTCACACTGAACTGTTAGAGAAGGCAGTCCAGATACACAGATTTGAAGCACGTGGGTAACACAGACAGAAAGGAGGAGCAGGAGAGGGAAGGAGAAGTGGGAATAACAAAAAAATAAATAAATAAAGCAGTAGAAGGAAAAGAGAAGGGGCAAAAGACCAAAACAGGGAGAAAAGAGCCAGAAGGGGGAGAAAGTTAACCTGTACAGCATTGTCTACCCCTAAAAGCTGAGTCTTGGCACAGTCCCTACCTTACTTTGACATAGTTCTTAGCTATAGTTAAGCTTGAAAACATATCTTAAACTCATTTCTCTTTATTCTTTTTTAAATAGCCCCACACTAAGAAAAAGGAAATAAACTCTAAAGTTGGCAATAGGTTTCCTCTTCAAACATCAGATAATCTTTGTATTTCTATTTTCTTCTACCCAATTTTAGAAAGGTGTTTTTTTTTTTTTTTTGAGGAAGATCAGCCCTGAGCTAACATCTGCTGCCAATCCTCCTCTTTTTGCTGAGAAAGACTGGCCGCCTTGAGCTAACATCCATGACCATCTTCCTCTACTTTATATGTGAGATGCCTGCCACAGCATGGCCTGATGAGCGGTGCCATGATCAGCGGGATCTGAACGGGCAAACCCCAGGCCACTGAAGCAGAACGTGTGAACTTAACTGCTGCGCCATCGGGCCAACCCCAGAAAGGTTTTTGAAACACTCATAATTTTGATTTGCAATGTTTTGATGATCACTTCATAATGTATAAAAATATCAAAACACTATGTTGCACACTTGAAACTAATATAATATTCTATGTCAATTATACTTCAATTTAAAAAAATGATTTTTAATTATCTGTCTTGTCCACATTTGTAACATGATTCCTAATAATAATAATAAAAAGGTAGATGAATGATTATTTTTTAACTTCTGGAAAAGTCATCAATGGCCACTAAATCAATGAATAGCAAAATATCAGTACTTCTAGCAGGAATCTACCCATTCTAATTGGAATACATGTATACGTGTTACCTAGGATTTTAACATCAGCCAAATTTCTGCGACAGTTAGCTTCACTCTGATCAAATAGAGTTCCAACCCAGAGGTCCTACAAAGTTAGATAAAGTGAGACCATATGTAACTCATTCTGTGCTGTTCAGCGCAATCAATCCAGGATGGACACAGATGATGAAATAACCATCCAGTCCTAACCCATACACACACAAAAACCTTCTGGAGTAGAGAGATTTAAGATAATTTCAGAAAATGCATTTCAAGTATGCTGAGTTCTGTTGCATTTGTTTTGGATTATGTTTTTAAAAAAACATTTTGAAATATATATTCTTGAAATTTTATAGCAAACAGTAAAAGAGCTATGATTTAACCACAGAAGCATTTCGCTCCGTTTTTCAAATTGGAGGATACAGTAAACCCAATATTAAGTTATAATATTTCTTATGTAATTTTTAAGTTCACGAAAATTATCCTGTTTTTGTATGTAATTTCTATTTTTAGTTGCTGTAAGGGAATGCTGACATTTATTGAAAGACTGACACGAAATGATTTTAGAAAAAAGAAAAATAATCTGTCAGATCAGGAAGGTATGTAGAATCGAAAGGACTGACTTTACATCTACCCTAACGATTCACACCACTTCTAGACAAGATCTTCCCTATGTGATAACATTTCAACTCACATGGCAAATATCCAACACATATGTACCAAAGATGGCTGACACACTGAAGAAAATGTGGCATACATAAATTTATTACTGATACCATTTCAATATCCAATTCAATGTCAGGGCCTTCTAGAAGTGGTATGTTTTCCATTTCCTTTTTTTTTTTTTTTTTTTTTTTTAAGTAAAAAGAAAAGGTATGGCATAATCTGCCATGGCAATTATTTTGCTTTTAGTTAGTTCAAATAGTTCCAGATGTGTTTTTAAGGTGTGAGGAATAGGTATTCTATATTTTCCTTGTTTACACACCATTCTAAAGATGATTAGTGTGAAAAGAGAGAAAGTTCAGTATTGGTGGATGCTACATCTTTTTGTATCACAGTTCACCAAGCCAATTATAATAGCAAAAATATCCATGACTCAGAGGTGTTATGGATTGAGGAACGTCTTGGTCAATTATAGTTAATCCAGAGTTGCTCTTACTTAAATAAGTGTTAGTTAAGGAAGCTGGATGGTATGCACTGAAGAGAATTACACTCAAGTGGAACTGAGCTACTACTTAATGGAAAGGAGAAGGCAGTTAGGGAGGAACAAAACTGAGTACTGAATTTGATTTTTATTTCTCTGGAAAATATGGCAAATAGAGTTCCTACAACAGTCATTTAGTTACTGCAATGTTTGGGTGTGAAACGTTACAGGACACTTCAGACTAGAATGGTGACTATCCAGCCTCCACAATGCTACCATCTCATTTCGCTGATTAGCACTTCTAGTAATGTTCCATCCTCACTCAGAACCCTTCAACAATGTCTGAGAATAAAAGTCAAATGCTAACATTTTAAGCACAATGGAATTATACAGTGGAAGGATAATTGGCATAAAAGGAGAACTTTCAAGTTAAGACAGACTTGGTTTCAAATATTGACTGACTCAACCCTCAGCCAAGTTTGTTATCCTGCACCTCAAGTCTCTCATAAGAAGAACGGGGATACAATCCTCTTTACCTCACCAGGACCCTAGCACAGAGCCTACTCATACCAGGCTCAACAAAAGTGAGCTCCATTCTCTTGTGCCTTCCTCTCTGTGATCCATTCATGGCTTTATTTCCAATATCTTCCCCCCTATTCCCAGTCAATGTTCTATCTATACAGAGCACCTTGGTATTTCCTGGTTTTTCTGCCTTTCTTTGTCATGCTGCTGTTTCTTTGATCTAGAAGAATCTGTCCCAATTTGCAGGTTCTTCACCGCCCATTACAGATCCCACAGCCTCTTACAGCTTTCCCTAGTTGCCCCAGGGAAGCACATCACACTTCCTCTGCCTCTCTTGTAACATTTACCACAGCCCATCTGTACGAGAGTTGCGTATGTGTATTATACACCCAGATACCCCAACCAGCGAAAATATTAAGCAACTTCATGGCATTTTTTTAAAATGCCTCCTTAAGGAAGGCATTTACAAAATAAACATAATCAGTGTTCTCATAAGAAGGATGGTTACATTCCTAACTTTTAC